AGGAGAAAATGAATGTTGGGTAGGCAACCAGCAATGCCTACCCAATATTAAATATCTTATGGAAAGTGCTAAGCACAGTGCCTAACACATAGTTAACTGCCCAATAGAAGTTAGGCTATAAATACTACTGTTATAATTATTATTGTTGTTGTTATTCACCTTTCTTACTCTCTGGCCAAGTGGAATAACTCAATATCCATGTGTGCCCCTACGTTTTTATGGCATCCCTTGCTCTATCTGCATCTCCAACTCTCCCTGCTTTAAGGTCCAGGAAAATGCCATTGCATCCAAGAAGTCCTTCCTTACACTTATTCCTAATGATAAGTTTCATGGTGGCAGGACCCACATCAGATAAAAACTGTGTTCACCAAAGTTTTTAGAGACTGAACATTGTCTCTTGGAACACAGTAGGTTCTAATAAATAATGCCTTAATAATTTAAGTAATTCATATGTATACACCAACCTGCTTTACAGCCAGCCCTCTAAAATCAAACACAGTATATTCCTGAAATGCAGAAGTTAAGCACCAGGTTTATATGTCACACAGCCAGCAATGGGAGTAAGGGGATGAAAATTGCATTCCCCAAGAAAAAGAAAAAATTAGAAAAGCTTCTCACCATAATTTTTACATGCTGTTGGAATCTGGATCATAGTTCATCAGATATTCGCTCCCTTACTGTGAACAGAGTCTACTTTTACACACAAGTTTTGTCCAAAATAGTGCTTTGTCCAAAATAGGTTATCAGTGAAAGTGACATTTGCTTGTGCAGTTTGCCTCTTGGCTCCAGTGATCTGCCAGGAGAAGAGTATGCCCCAAGTAGCTGCTATCCCTTCAGCCTGGGCCCCAGGACACATGTGGAGCAGACTGGAACCCAACCCACAGCCTCTGCACAGCCACCCCAAGGAGCCCAACCTATACCAGCCAAATCACGGTCAACCTGAAGACCCATGAGTGTGAAAATAAATACCTGTTGCTGTAATTCGGAGTTTTGTTACACTGCCAAAGCTGACTAATATATCTTATAATTTGATATATGTTAGCATGTCTTATATCTTCATTCACTTTGTTCCTTTTCTTCACATAAAAAGAACAGGCTGAAGAATCTCCATGTTTTGTACATCCAGTGATTTCTACCTTTTTATCAACTATTTTAAATTTATGAGACCCACATTACCATGAATATTGGTGCTTTTCTGTGTTTTCCATTCATCCTATGTTTCTAAACTAAGAAAATCACAATAAAATATAAAGGAATAGTGTAAACATTGCAGAAACAGAAACTGTTGGCTGGCAAGTAGGTGCCCCATGGACCAGCCAAAATGTTAACTGGTTAGCAGATTTAAAAAAAAAAAAAAAGGACTAGAGGATGTCCTAGTAAAACAAGCAAATGCAGATTGTACAAAAGTCAACCTAACCAAAGTCAAAGACTCTTTAGGAGGCCGGGCGCGGTGGCTCAAGCCTGTAATCCCAGCACTTTGGGAGGCCGAGACGGGCGGATCGCGATCACGAGGTCAGGAGATCGAGACCATCCTGGCTAACCTGGTGAAACCCCGTCTCTACTAAAAAAATACAAAAAACTAGCCGGGCGAGGTGGCGGGCGCCTGTAGTCCCAGCTACTCGGGAGGCTGAGGCAGGAGAATGGCGTGAACCCGGGAGGCGGAGCTTGCAGTGAGCAGAGATCCGGCCACTGCACTCCAGCCTGGGCGACAGAGCGAGACTCCGTCTCAAAAAAAAAAAAAAAAAAAAAAGACTCTTTAGGTAAATTTGTGGACTCCAACATCATTCACCTTATTTTTCAGGATACCTTCACCACTGAGTTTCACCAACGGGAAGAGACTGATAAGGCTTACATCTTGTAGCTTTTCCAACATATTAAAAACAAGAGAGCTGGTCACACCTGTAATGCCAGCACTTTGGGAGGCCAAGGCAGGAGGATCACCTGAGGTCAGGAGTTCGAGACCAGCCTGGCCAACATGGTGAAACCCCGTCTCTACTAAAAATACAAAAATTAGAGAGGCATGGTGGCAGGCACCTGTAATCCCAGCTACTTGGGAGGCTGAGGCAGGACAATCACTTGAACCCAGGAGGTGGAGATTGCAGTGAGCCAAGATCGCACCACTACACTCCAGCCTGGGTGATAGGAGCAAGACTCCATTTCAAAAAACAATAAAAAATAAAATAAGAGGGTCATGCTATTACAAAAGAATAATTTTAAATATCATTATAGCTAATCACTAATAGAAAACGGTCTCTGTAAATAACAAAGAAAATAAAACCCTAATCCCTTGGTGGGGAGACAATTGAATGATGTTAGGAGCATTTATTCAACCAAGATCTATTTAAAACTCCAATTGGAAATTTAAGGTGTCAAGAAAAATGGAAGAGTGTGAATTTTGTTTTGTTTTACCTTCTTTTAAGTCATCATCATTACGTTTGGAACTAAATTTCTATCGAGTCAAAATTTTTATTTTATCATATGTTATATTTTTTATATTTTATTATGTTTCTACTGGAAATATATAATAAACAAAGTTACTAAATTTGCCTATTGACCCATGCTACAGCCTTAAAATGGAAAGGCAAAACAGGCTGATAAAAGGACTGTCAGAATCACAGTGGACTCTTAAGAGGGTTAGCTCTACGTATGCTGGGAGAACCTACACTTCAGACTGGACACATGCAGACTACACAACCCAAATTTGAAGTCAAGGCCATGCCCAAGGTCATGGGCTCTGGGTAAGACAAACCTGGGCTCAGGTTCTTGCTTTCATACTAAACTGTGGCAAGATACTTAATTCCTTCTAGTTACTCATCTATAATTTGGGCATAAGAATAGTACCTACTTCACAGGGGCTCCACAAGGTTTAAAAAAGATAATGCATATAAAGTACTTAACAAAGTGCTTGCCTATGCAATAATAATGATGATGATAGTAATAGTAATAATGCTGCTTTGACAACCCCGACTTCTACATGAAAACCATTCTAATCAGTATATTCTGGCTCACAGTCTGTTTATGAAATGCTTAATTCACAGCATTATGTTCACATCCAGGTACAGCTTCTATAAAGTGACAGCTCTTTGGATCAATCAGTAATTTTTTAAATGAATTCAGGGAGAAGGGTGTTGAAAAATCAGCCTTTCACTAGTAGTGAGTTGAGAAGGATCTGGTCCTTCACCCATGATTCATCCACCGGTGAAAGTCTTGCTGGTGAAAATCATGACACCATCACCTTCCACACCCCTCCCTGCCAAAACTGTAAAAGTATTTTATTAAAGCACAGAAGCAAAGAGACAAGATGGCTTACAGGAGAAAAAGGCAAACTCTACTACTCCCCAGAAAGAAAATGACTTGACCCCACCACCACCAAACTGACATTCTGCAAAAGAGAACAAGGCAGCCCTCACTTCCAGAAGTTGAGTTAACTGTCAGAACTAAAAGAATCCCTTCTATTCATGTGACTCCCCATAAAGAACGTTTGCCGGCTTCAAAAATATCTTATAAATCCATCCAGTAGAGCCAAGACCCAAGTACTGTATACTGAGAAACAATGTGACTTTACAAGGACAAGAGTGACCATAGGAGACAAAGTGCCACACCCTTTTCCGGATAGCTCAACGGCACATGGTGTCTCTTATAAAGACTGCAATTCTGGAGAAATAGGTGGGCAATTCTAACACCCCCTCCCCCAATTCCTTCTTTACACAGATTCATTTTCATTTTTAAGCCAATGGCCTTGGCATCCGCAACTACTACAACTAATAATCAGGGGGGTGGTGGGTAAGGGATGGGAAGGACAAGGAAACACGGGTCAAATATACTTGCTTCTAAAAGTCCATTTTCAAAGAGTTTTCTTCCCGCTTGTCTGCCTCTCACAGCTGGATCCCCATACCAGGTGGAAACCAATGGTTAAGTAAAACCACTGATTTAAAGAGCCAACCAGGAAACTAACCATGACAAGTGGGAGCTGCCCTCCTCTCCCGAGCATTGATTGGTTCTTTGGGTTCCACTGGTCCCCATTCTACCCACGTAAGTGGCAGGTGTGGCTGTCAATCACAGAGGGAACTGACAATTCACCGCTCCGGGAGTAAATTGCCTTTCATCCAGCAAAGGCAGGTAGCCGCCTAAAATCGATCGACTCCTAAAAGAGCGGACCTTCCCTCTCTGGCAAGAACAGAGACCCTTAAGTACAAAATAAATAAGGCAGGGCCGAACGGAGAGTTTACGAGCGCTATTTTATTACCCCGAACCAAAGCAGCTCTTAATCTTCACTGTCCTAAGATGATCTTTCAAAGGCTCGTACGGTATTTTTTTAAATTAGGTACACCTTCGTAAGTATCCCTGTTTTGTATAATTAGGAGATGGGGAGGAGGAGAGAAGGAATGCCGTTCAGTTCAATTTCACATCGTATTCCTTTTCATACACCATCCCCTAGCCCTCCCCATAAATCGGCTTCATTTTCCCTGACACGGGTTTTTTTTTTTTTAAAACGCTCCCCTCGGAGCCCACCCAGGCAGCCAGCCACCCCACCCAGTGGGCTGGGGCTCCACCTTTCTCCACTTTGTTCTGCTTGGGGTTGCTCAAGACCCCCGCCCCCGCTAATACCCCACCCCTCGAGGCAAGAGGGGACGCCAGACAGAAAAGGGGGATCTGAGAGAAGAAAGGCGATGGCAGTGAGGGTGGCTGCCGGAGAGGGACTGCGGGAGGTGGCCCGGGCCGCCGGGGCTAGCGAGCGGCGCCCGCGCGCCGGAGGAAACCGTGCACTTGTTCCAATCCGGGGGTTTAGACATCAAGGCAAATCCTCCCTTAGGCCGCCCCATCCCTTCCCCCGCCCGAGAAAGCCCCGGAGGAGGCGGATGGTTCACCCCTAGGCTCCCCACGATAACGCATTGCAGCTCCCCACAAGCGAGGGGGACCCGGCACGAGGGATGCCCGGGCACGGGTACCCCGAGGGAGCTGGGCACCAGGGGGCCCCGGCCCCAGCGTCGGCGTCTCACCTTTCGGATGCTCGCCCCGGGGCCGTCCCACATGGATTTTTACAACCTCTCGTCGCCTTGGCCCCGGGCGGCCGGGAGGAGCAGGAGCCGGCGCCGGAGCCGGAGACCGAGCGAGCAGGAGCGGGAGGCGGAGGAAGAGGAGGAGAAGCGGGGCGGAGAACCGGGAGGGAGGAAAGAAGGGAAGGAGGAGGACACCGCTCGGAGGGCCGGGGCCAGGCGCGGGGCCGGGCGGGGCCGGCGGCCGAGGGGGCGGCACCCGCCGCAGTCCCGAGACGCGCGCTCGCGCGGCGCTGCCAGGCGCGGCGCTCGGCGGGGCCCCCACCCGGCCGGCCCGCACGCTCGCCCGCTCGCGGAGGCCCTGACTCACATTCCCAGCATTCCCGAGGAGCCGCTAGGGGGGCTGGGGCTGGGGCCCGGGCGCCTCCGCTGGGGGCAGCAGAAAGCGCACGGCATGGGCAGGGGTCTTCGCAGCGCCTCCTCCCGGCAGGCCGCGGCGCGAAGCACCTGGCCCCCATCTTCTGTCCCCGACGCCCCGTCCCGGGTACCCCCCTCCAAAAGCTGCCAGGCACTCCCGGAACTTGTCATGTGGCTTTGGTGACAGAGGCAGGGATGGCACTTAACTTTTAAGTTAAGCATTGGAGTAGGGGGTCGTGGTTACCATACCCTGGCACCGTCCATCAGCTTTAATGTTCCTTAGGAGGTTGAAAGGATTTCATAAGATCTTTACTTTCTTGTTCCCCCAAAGACAAGACAGAATGAAAGATAAAGACGGGAACAAGAGAAAAGATCGTATCCGTCATATTCATTGGATGCCTCTTCTGTGCCCTGAAATGTGCTTGCATTGTCCCAATTTAAGGTAGAAAGATGACATCTGAGTTGATACGCGCGCACACAGGCACACACACACGCACGCACACACACGCACGCACGCACACACACCTCAAGGTAATGAGCAAGAGGATTTGGACAAGTTTTTCATTGGAAAAAGCTTCCACTCAACAAGTCTGGAGCCCCAACTGTGCCATTTTATATTAGGGAGGGTACTGGGATAGCCATGGGCATCTTTAAACTTGGTATCTTTCACTGAGTAGTCAATTTGCAGGGATAGGGCAGTCATTTCCTTCCTATCCTGATGAGTCTGCTTCCAGCAATTTCAGTGGCCAGATCTAAATTTCTCCTGCTGGGAAGCTCAGACAAATAAAGCAAATCCAGCCGTGGGATGTTTGGGTGTGCAGAGGCATAGAATTAGTACAGCGATTAGAGGATGGCTCCTTCTTTCCTCCACTGGTGAGAATTCAATTTTTTTTTTTTTTTTTTTTTTTTTGAGACAGAGTCTTGCTCTGTTGCCCAGGCTGGAGTGCAGTGGTGTGATCTCAGCTCACTGCAACCTCCGCCTCCTGGATTCAAGCAATTCTCCTGCTTCTGCCTCCTAAGTAGCTGGGATTACAGGAGTCCATCACTATGCCCATCTAATTTTTGTATTTTTAGTACAGATGGGGTTTCACCATCTTGGCCAGGCTGATCTTGAACTCCTGACCTCAAATGATCCACTGACCTCAAGCTTCTCAAAATGCTGGCCTTACAGGCATGAGCCACAGAGCCCGGCTGGAATTCAAATACTAAATGATTCCTGCTCAGGGAATCAGACTCTGAGAGGCAAGGATGCCTTCCTGTTCCTGCCCAAATGCCTGTTCCTTAAGCCTGTACACCTCTGGTGCCTAAGGTTTTTCATAGACTCTCCTTGCCCTCATCCTCTTCTTTCTATCTCTAAGAAATCAACACTCATTCTCCTGACCTAGATGCTCCAGGGGCAAAACCAAGCTCCATCTATTGTGTTTTGTTCCCCGCATACATCCTTGACAGCCTCTGCTCGAAAGGCTTGTTGTATATGAGGGGCTTGTTGAGAGTCCTTTGAGAATTCCTAAAATCCCATATCTTTTGAAACGTGGCCAACATTTTTTAGTACCCCCCTCTGTGCGGGCACTTACATTTTCTCAACTATTCTCACAAAAATTCTATAAGATGTTTACCGTCTTTCAGAAAAGTTGAGTAACATACTCAGGGTGATTCTATGAAGAATTTATTTAAATCAATGCCTGAGGTTCACTCTGGTTGGCCACCCATTCTCTTTTCCTTTGATCCATGGGTTTTAAAAGGAATCCTTGACATTTGGGGGACAATTTGTCATATACATGCTTGTGTACATTTTTCCCACAAAGAGAAGATTCATGGTTCTCAACAGATTTCTTTCAAATTGGGTCCTTGACCCAGAAAAAGTTAAGAATAATTACTTTAAATAGAAAGCGACTCTACATAGTAAAACAAGAGTGGAAGTTATAGGAATCTTAAGCAAGTCGTCTTTATCCTCACTGGGACTTAGTTTTCTGAAAATAAAAAGCTGAACTAAAGAATCTTAAGATTGCTCTCAACGCTAATGTTTTCTAACTTTAGGTTAAAATACACATATATGTGTGTATATGTGCACAAATACATACACACACACCTCCTCTCAATATGCTAACAAGTAGCCATTGTGAGATCTAACCCCTCAGGACAGAAAATTCTAAAATATATTGTATTTTCTAAAACATAGTCCGTTGCTCCAGGGTTTTTTGTTGTCGTGGTGGTTTGGTTTGGTTTGTGTTGTTTTGACGGTTATTGATGTCTTTCTTCATCCTGGCAAGCTCTTCTCAAGTAAGTCAGAGAGAGCATACTTTCATGGCAGATATTTTTTCTCACATATTCATTCATTCATTCAACAAATACTTGTTGAACATCTACTTTCTGCTAGGTCCTGTGGGTTCAGAGCCCCTGCCTCAAGGACTGTACAATTGAGTGACAGAGACAAACAAGAAGCAGGCAATAACAATACCGCCTATAAAGGAACAAAGTTCTGGGAACTGCAGGAACATGCAGGAAGAATAATCAACTGTTCCCCTGGAGTTCAGAAAAAGTTTTCCTGAGGAAATGTCAACTTTGTTGCCACATCCAACTTTGCTGCCCTACGGTGTGCTCAGCCTGGAGTGGCAGCTATTATAGATGGGAGCTGTGGTGGACACCTGCCCCTGGATGAGCCATGACAGGCTCTCCCTCCAGTATTTCAAATTGAGCTTGAAGAATGAGTCAGTCAGCTGGCATTGAATAGTGAGAGTGTAGACTGTGGTGGCCCAAATTAGAACTATGGCACCAAAAACCGTGATGCCAAAGTCATCACGAAGTAAGTTCTAAGACCCTTGCCAAGGAAGCTGGTCTGTAAAGAGAACAGCCAGCCATGTAGACAGAAATGAGATTTCTAAAGACCTAAAGAACTTGGATATCTACCTGCTTATTTGACTTCCCCATTGTGAGTATCTAACCAGTATCTCAAACTTGATTTTTATGCACCAAGTCTCCTCTCTCCCAAGGTCACCCATCAGGATAATGACATTACCAATCATCCTGTTGCTCAGGTCCAAACCTAGGAGTATCATTAATTCCTCCTTTTGCTTATACCACACGTTTACACCATCAGCCAGTTCTATCAGCTCTACTTGGGTCTGAGCCAAGCCACATAAGAGCCTGAAGCAAAAGAAAAACTGTGTACCCCTACATATTTTTTGAACCAAATAGAAAAAGTTAATCTCTACAATGAAAAAGCATGACTATATATAAAAGCACCATAATGCCCAATTAGTTCTCCTGTGATTGTTAACCGTCATAAGCCTGCCAGTGTGGGACTATGATAGCCAAGTGGCCTCGGAACTGAGCACAGGTTGGAAACAACTGTTCTTGTTGCACAGTGAAGAAGGGTCATAAAACAACAACCTGTGTTGGTTTTGTTTCTGTTTCTTTGGATTTTTTGCATTCATTTTGAATATAGTAATAGCAACGAAGAACAAATACCGATTAGACAAAATTGATACTATGTGCTAGGCCCTGTTCTAAGCTCGTTGTGTGCGTTAACTGACTTATTCCTCACAATCGACCTAAAATATACCATTATTATACCTATTTTACCAACAAAGGCACTGAGGCACCTGTAGTAAGGTAATTTACCAGGACCACACAGCTAAATCATTGCAGGGCTGAAATTCTAACCCAAGAAGTCTGACTCCAGAACAAACAAGGTAAAATAAACTGGACTTGGTGAGCAACTGGCTATGGTCAAGAGAGAGGAGTCAAAAATGCTCCCAGGAGTCTGGTTTGGGTAGCTGGGTGGATAATGTGCCATTCACTAAAACTAGAAATAAATGTTGGGGGAGGAGTACAGGTTTATGGAACATTTATAGATCATATGGGAAACCCAATTATGAACAGTTTATGGGTTCAATTTGAGGCTTTTCATATTTGAGATGCCAAGGACCTCATGGTAGAGATGTCCAGAACATGGCAGTTTCAATGTGCTTTGAAGTCAGACAACAGATACTTGATAAAGACAGTATATGGGAGTCACCAAGTTTGGTGATTAGAGTCCTGGGCATAGCCGAGTAACCCAGAACAGTAATTGGCATGTCTACAGGGAGAATCTAGTTAAATAAGAAAAAAAATCCCTAAACAACTTATAATTGTCTGTTCTTCTTAGGTATGAGGTCATTTGTGCAAGTCTTAACAGGGTAGATTTTAGCTCAAAAGAAACATGATTAGACTGCCACTTTAAAACAAAACAAAACACCTAATTAACTGACCCACCACCACAACAGTTGGACTGGAAAAAAATCACCTGATCCTTTGGAAACCAACAATTGGTTCCATTAAACCATTCAAATTATATTTACCAGGAATGTTTTAAGATCGTTGTAGGTTTTAAGCATCATAGCAAACATATCAAAATCCAGCACCATCAAAAATATATATTTTTTGGCTGCACATGGTAGCTCACATCTGTAATCCAGCACTTTGGGAGGCCAAGGCAGGAGGATCACTCGAGCCCAGGAAGTCAAGGCTACAGTAAGCTGTGATCCCACCACTGCACTCCAGCGTAAGTGACAGAATAAGACTCTGTAAAAATATATATATATATGTATATATATACACACACACACACACACACATTTGTTTTTCTGTGAAAATGTTTGAAAGTTTTTAAAATTATTTGAGCAAGAACAAATCATTTTATTTACTTGTGGCTATGGTTGTCCAAAATCATTAAGCATACTCAGAGACTATTATAAGGTGAGAAGAAAATCTAACATACAGTTGTTTCCAAATGAAAGGAAATGTTTGTGAACATGAAAATTCATAAAGTTATATTTTT